TAGATGCAGCTACAAGTTACTTAGAACAGCCAGCTTCATACTCGGCTCAAATAAGCTCCTAATTACATACGTCGGTTAAAGCTAGGAGGCGGCACAGCAGACAATCAAGCTGGCCATTGCCGCACCTTTGGATCTTACTAAAAGAGGTATCCGGGTCGTCCGGCAGATCCCTTGTTACATCCTGTGCCTACCGAAAGCGATAGTATACGCCTAGAACCGATACGTGAATCGTGAATGTTTATTGCTCCCCAAGATTAGGACACTTATATCAGAAACAACAACCCTTCCAGATCACATTGTGAAATTCCGACCGCTTAACCTACCCATTTCATATCCTTGTAGGATTACACTAGAGATGATTCCAATATCTGGTCTATCATTCAATCATCGATCGGCCAGCAGGTTTCGATGGGCCCAATACCCTTATTGCAAGACCACAGCTGCCGGCGCTATTTGTTAGTGTATGACCGAGATGCTGCGTAAAGCCCCTCACTCAAGCCCCATCGACACTCACAGATCCAACTCTCTCACCCATGCGAACATCATTCACAGCTTCCATCCAGTACCTCCTATAACGGCCATATACGCCGGGAAACCCCCGCGCACATCCTCAAAGATAAAAAGAACTTATTCATCTGGACAGAATGGCTGCACCCCTCCGCATCGGCTTCGTCCCGGAGCACTTCTCCACCCCGCTGTACTTTGCCAAGCAGCATTACGGCCTCAATGCGGAACTGATCCCATTCCCCTCCGGCACTGGCCACATGGTCACAGCCATCAGAGCAGGCGAGATTGACGTCGGAATCGGTCTGACAGAGGGCTGGATTGCAGGCCTGGGAAAGGAGGATGTGGAAGGCGACGGCGGCTACCGCTTAGTGGGCACATACGTTGAGACACCTCTGTGTAAGACAAAGGCAAGACTCATCACAACCTAACCTTGGCTGACCGCAACTCGCAGGCTGGGCCATCTCTACGGGGTCTAAGCGCCCTGAGATCGACTCAGTATCCTCTCTGAAGGGTGGCAAAATCGGCGTGTCCCGCATTGGCTCCGGCAGCTATGTCATGGGGTTCGTTCTGGCTGACCAGCAGGGCTGGCTGGATCCTTCACTCGGCGCGCCGCCTTTCTCGGACACTGTTGTGCTGAACAACTTTGAGAACCTCCGCAACGCGGTCAACTCGGGCGAGGCCGACTTCTTCATGTGGGAGCATTTCACATCCAAGAAGTTCTACGACTCGGGTGAGATCCGGCGGGTCGGTGAGATCTACACGCCCTGGAGCAGCTGGAAGATTGTAGCATCGACCAAGCTCACTGCCGGCGACAAACTTGATGCTCGAGTCCAGGACCTGTTCGGCAAGCTTGACCAAGGTGTTGAGCACTTCAACAACAACCAGGAGGAGTCGGTCAAGTACATTTCGACTAGCCTAGGTTACACAGAGCCGGATGCAAGGGAATGGCTCAAGACGGTCAGGTTCCCCGTCAAGACGCAGGGCATCAAGCCCGAGGTGGTTGAGAACTGCGTTTCCATTCTAAGGAAGGCAGGCGTGCTGAAGGATGGCAAAGGGATGCAGCCGCGTGAGATGGTACTAAGCTGAATTGTGGCACGTGAGATGAGGCGTTAGAATTGGAGCAGCTGCTCTTATATTTAACACATATGGAAAATGAGGAACCGCGTGACAAGAATCTGATAAGTCCTAGCTGCGGTAGACGGAATCATATGTCCGCATTTGACCCTGCCGATGCCATCATGTGTTATCGATTGGAAATGAGCATCTCAAACAAGCCCCCAACAGCAGGTCAGACGTGCTGGGTCACAGGCTGTTGCAGGGCCCTCCAGGCCTCTGAGCGGCTCCCCACAGCGACCCAAGCCAGCTAGAGTACCCGCCGTGGGTCTGCAGGGCACAAATGCCGCCCTGTGGATGGCTGAAACACCACGGCACCCGGCCCCTGGCGTTATGCTGCCATCTCGCTCCGAAATAGCGGCAGCCCACCGGAACGAACTGACTGACAAGGAGGTAATAATACCCACCCACCCGCCAATCCATCTCGAGAAAGACCAACGAGCATCCTGTTGCTGTCGATCATTTGGCATTTTCCCCCTTTGCAACCCAGTCCGACGACCATTCACCGCGATACCTGCTCCCTACCGGATATACGTGTCTTCAAGGGATTGCCCTCCTGACATGCTGTCGGATGTCTGCTATTGAGCCGCCCTCGCATTCCTCGATGGGACAACGTACTGCGACACTTGCGACGACACGCTGTGGGAAGCCTGGATAGACAAGACGACATCTGTCATCTGGAGTACCGTCCACGAACCGAAGCACATAATTATCCGACAGAATGGCTGCCGCCAGTGGAGCTGAGTTTCAAGAGGGCCCGGTTCACTTGGGGGATCGACGATTTTCAGACGATGCGACCGACCTGGCAGCCTCAATAGGGTCATCCGCCGGTCTGCGGCCGACGACGACCGCTCCTCCGGGTGGTATTCGGTCAAGGCTGGGCCTCGCAAGGAGGACGTTGGGATTGGGGCTACTCATGGTCACAGTGTGTCTCTGGACGGCTTCCAATTTCCTAGCCAGTGTATGCGCTCCCAAACCCATGTTTCCTCTATGAAGGAGCTGAATCTCTTGCTGACTGAACGACCCTGCCGCAGACGATATTTTCAGATGGAACCTACGATAAACCATTCTTCGTTGTTTACGCAAACTCCTCTCTTTTCGCCTTTTCGATGCTTCCAAGATTTACGAAATATCTAATACGAAATGGGTTCCGGGGCTTACAGCATGACCTGGGCCAAATGTGGCATGAACAACGACATGGGAAATCGGCGAGCAAGACCGTCGAGGACGTGACCGCAGACGAGACGGTCGGCGAGCGGCTGCTGGTGGAAGAGGATGACGAGCTTGGCAGATCGGTGGAGCTATCGGGGGTGATACCCCAGGAGAGGCTGGACGTGCGCGAAACGGCCATGCTCAGCCTCGAGTTCTCCATGCTGTGGTTCCTCGCCAACTACTTCGCGTCTGCGTGCCTGGAGCACACGAGCGTGGCGAGCGCGACGATCCTGTCATCGACGAGCAGCGTGTGGACGCTCATTTTCTGCGCCGTGTTCGTGGTGGAGCGGTTCACCCTCCGGAAACTCATCGGCGTGCTCGCGTCCCTCGCGGGCATCGCGCTGGTCTCCACGGTAGACCTCTCGGGCGGAAGCGATCAGGATCGGGGGTCGTTCCCGCACAAATCGACCACCGAGATTGCTGTTGGGGATTTCATGGCGCTGATCGGCGCTGTCATCTATGGCTTGTATGTGACCGTGATGAAGAGGCGTGTGGGGAACGAGGATAGGGTCGATATGAGGCTGTTCTTTGGGCTCGTGGGCATTTGGACGCTCCTCCTCTTCTGGCCCTTATTCTTCGTTCTGCATTGGACTAATATCGAGCCCGTGAGTGCGACCCGCATCTTGATTAAGTCACAAGCGATGTTTCTCACATTTGTTCTAGTTTGCACTCCCTCCGTCAGCCAGAGTTTGGGGAATTATTTTTGTAAGTCATCCTGTGCATGTGGTTTGTTCAACACATCGCTGACTGTCGATCCATTGACAGGGCAATTCCCTTGCCTCCTTTATTAGCGATATTTCGTGGGCGTTCGCCATGCTGATGACTACTCCATTGGTCGTCACGGTTGGTATTTCTTTAACGATTCCGCTCTCGCTTATCGGCGAGATGATACAGTACGGGCAATATGCGTCGTTTCTGTACTGGATTGGAGCAGCGATTGTGCTCTTATCATTTGTGTTTGTGAGTCATGAGAGTAAAGACGAACCAGAGAAGGGGACCGCCATTGAGATTGGGCCAACGCGAGATGCGGCGCAGGAAGAAGCGTAACGGAATACACGTGGATGAATTTGTATATACAGAGGCGTAGAGCGATTGTAGACGATAGACTCTGCAACAGATATGTTTGGTTTGACAAGAGAACCCTGATTCATTATTTGGTGGTTTGACAAACTCTTTATTTTCCGAGTCCTGTGACACCCTCTCCAACTCCCAACCCACTGTATGCAATCGACCCTCCCAGCTCCATCCTCATGCAGATCATTGGAGTCAGGTGCTTGTAGACCGAAACTGGCTCTTCCCGCTTTGGCACCACCAAGACCCGCCCCTAGCCCAAGGCTCGATCCAGGGCCCGAAGCTCGATCTCCAGCCTCAAAACTGCCCCTCACCAGCTCTGCTCACGATTTTATACTGGGACCGCGAATTCCAACTTCCCGATATCTAGGTCTTTTGCCCCTCTGAAAATTTTGGAGAAGGCGATGATCACCCGTTTGTAGCGCCCGGAGCAAACCCTCCAGGGTTCAGTCAACAAAAGAGCCCTGCAGCTAGGGTTCGAGTTCCCCAGATCTTGCTTGCTGTCCCACAGCCAGAGACAAAGGGAACGGGCAAGGTAAGTCGGAAGGGTGCCTAGTTTGCCTCTTGCTTGCTCGCATGAACAGACTGGCCAAGTGGACCCCGATTGAGAGCAGGACACAATGAATCGAAGCTATTGATTTTGGCTAGTGCATTCCTATTTCTGTTTGTGAAAGAGGGAAAGAGACAGCTCCTAATATCTGCCGAGGCGCCCGGCGCTTCTCCGTGACTGCTTCCTTCTCTCCTTTGTTCGACCGAGAGATCAAGGAAGCCGCATCCTCCTGCCAACTTTTTCATGGCATACGGGCTTATCCAGACTTTTCCTACTTCCCCTCCTTGATTGCTGGCGCTCGTTATTTCATTTCTTGTTCTCTACCTAGACATTTTTTCGCCTGTCCTGTCAATACCCTCCTCGTCTACCTGCATGACTTTAGACGTTTCCTGGTGATACTCCAACTCCAATACCCTAGAGAAAGACAGCTTATAGCACCTAAAATCGAAAGCAACGCCACACTCAAGCGTTCGCTTCTGCGCCGCCTCTGGTAGATACAGCTCGGCTTCTCTCTGTTTAGACAGGTTGCGGTGGATCATGAGTCGCCATGGCTGCCAGTGAAACCGAGACCACTCAGACCGGCTCCATGGCCGAGTCTATCGCCGCTTCCACCAGGGTTTTGCATGCGAGGCTTAATAGGCTCATCATGGCTCGCCTCCAGCTGGCCTTGCCTCCGCGGATAGCTGATCCTTCCCTGTACATATCAGGATTATTCCATATTGCACCGATCTATATCACCTTCGAGACTCTATGGGAAAGCATCCTCGAATCTCCACCCAAGGTGGCCCAGTCTGGGTTGCTCATCCGTGGAACCGACCCGTTCATACATGCCACGGACAGTGAAGACAAGCCGCCTTCGCGGACTAGGAGGTCAAAACTACACCATGAGCTTCACTCGGCGCTGCAGACATTACGCCTCCCAGGGCTTATGCGATCGTCCAAGCTCAAAGAGGACTTAGGGGCGTTAACGGGATGGCCAGAACAAGTGGTCCAGGAGCAGCTCAATGTGATCAGTGAGAGTGGACACCTTGCTCATTTTCTTGACCATATGCGACGTTCGATCAATAGCAGGCCGCACGTTCTTATCGCATATGCCTACATCTTCTTCATGGCTTTATTTGCCGGTGGGCGCTTTATTCGGGCGTCTCTCGAGTCGGTTGGTCACGCATTCTGGGACCAGTGTCCGTCCCCAATCAGGCCAAACATGATGGCGTGCGAGAAAGACAGACGTGACTCTGCTGAGTCGCTAGATGCTTTGGAAACGAGTCGCGATGAGAGGTTCCGCGGGCTTCTCGAATCTCATGGGTTTCCGTTGGGATTCTTCCATTTTTCCACTCCAATGGACGGGGAGGATTTGAAACGAGAGTTTAAGAAGCGGCTCTCCGGATCAGAGACCGTTTCAACAGCCCAGGAGAAAGATGATATCGTGAAAGAATCGGTTTGCATATTCGAGAACATGATTCTACTCGTTCGTCAATTGGATGAGGTCTGCGAGGTACCTGGCCAGGATACGGCTGATGATATGATGGCTCGACTTCGAGACAGCGTTTCAGTGACAAGAGAAAGAAGAGATTTACGGAACAGCACGAGAAGGAGCGACAATAGCATCTGTAGCGTGGTCAGATCACAAGGCAGACCTAACCTTGCAAAGTCGGCCTCGGAGAACGATTCAGACGTGGTACACGATGACTATGTTGCCCCCTTCCATCCACGAGTGGCCGGGTTTGCTGGAAATGGACTTTGTCCTGGACTGCCCAAATCTATGAGGTTTGACCAGACCCTCCCTAAGCCCAACCGCCACCATCCTCTCAACGAGGAGCTAGCCGAGTTCTCAAAAAACGCCTCGATGGCAAGATACGGCCGCAACGTTGTAAGCTGCATACTTTTCGTGGCCTTTGGCATTATGTTTGCCGGAGCTCTCGTAACCGGACAAAAGGGGTTGTTAGCTTGGTGATGTTAATACACACAACCATAGTGAAGGGGGGAGAGATGTGCGACAAGTAAACGACGTTACGCATGCATTACTGGCGTTTGTGATTTTGCAGTAATTCTTTAGGATACCTAGAAACGAGCATGGTTTTTTCATACAACAAGTTAGACAATAAATTGTCCATTCAATACAGAGAGCACCGTCGGTTCCTTCAAATGAGATGGAAGCCGCTGAAATCAAGCGTTCTGGTGTTTTGGCTGAATTTTTGGTAGCCCGAGAATTTTCAGGGCGAAATCGTGACTAGATTTCAATTCCTTCAAGAATTGACTCAATTCTCACCAAGTGTTGACATATGACATGATGCTAATGACTCTTTACCTTCTCAACTCTTGGATTGCTCCAGCTGTCATGCAGAAGGCACCCTATAGGCACTTCCATAGTACTTACACAGTAGTGGAACTAGGAAGATAGTTCGATGATATAATGACACTTGAATTGATGCATAACTCGAAGCCTTGACAAAATAGTGGTAATACAATGATTTGATTGCTGAACCTGTTTTTGACCCAGAGCATTAAGAATGTCGCTATCTCATCGCTATCCGTTTCACCTTTTCTGGATTCCTAATCCCTAAACCCCAACAGATGCAAGACTTGCTCCTCAGGTGTCGCGAACTCCTACATCTTTGCGACTCTGCAACATCCTTATCCGCCTTAATTGATGAAGACAACAAATCCGGTCACCAAATTGTGTTAGGCAATTCATCGCATCGAGAAGCTTTCCCGCGGAGTCCAAGGCAGAGCTCGTAGATAAGAGATTTTCATTGTGCTGTATGAAGAAAATCCCGGACCTACCCCCGACTAAGGCGTGGGACGAACCTTTGCGAGACGAAGCTCTTCTCATTCATACGCCATCCGCTCAGTTAGCCCAGTGGCTTGAATCTCGGAGTGTTGTTTCTGCTCGTATTTTCGAAGACGACTAAATAACCCAATAGCTGCATGGACACACCTTGGTGCATAAACAGGTTTCATTGAGTTTGAGACGGTCAACATTATACTACCCATGTTTAAGTCTCCGAACAATATTGTCAGATTATTAAGGGCTAATAAAGAATGCATAAAAGACAATGCACTGAATTTCGTTCATTTGGTCCGTTCCATACTGCTACATTATTTCGGACATCGTGGAAAGTGGCCTACTAACAACCACCCTCCAATCTGATGTCTCATTTCTTCTGTCACACTCAGGGCGTCCACACGCGAAATAGCTTCCTTAACGTACCCGTGTTACTTACCGAACTACCTATGAAAGCGAAAATCAAATTTGGCCCTGAAAGCTTAATAATAGGGTTCGTGCCTGGATCTGGTACCTGCAGTTGCGGAGTCACCTTATAACCAGAACTTAATCACTGGAAACTCTATTACAAGAAAAATGAATGGCCAAGGTACCTACCTACCTTACTTAGGAACCCCAATGCCCGCGTGTCAAGACGCGATCTCACGCCTATTGAACCACTAAATTGCGGCCTACCTGGATAACTACCGACTCCCATCGATGGCGGTCTTGAAGCTGGCTTGTAACCATACCCGGAGCAAGAGCGTGTACGGTCGAAGATACGCCGATGTATCAAGCAACCCAGCCGAAGAGACGGCGGTCCCCTAAATGGCGAGCCAAAAGTCTGCGGAATACGGTGATACATGGATAGGCACTGGGCGGCGGATTGCGCCTCATAAGCGGTTGTCAGCAGGGAGCCCCGCCTCTGTCCCTGCGGTGTGGCCATGTGTGAAGAGCTCATCCTAAAAATAACGTGAGATGATGACGCTTTCTATAGACATTCCAAATTTTTGCATTTTCTTTCTACCGTTTCAAGTGGCCGTCGTTCTTGGGCATCTTCAGCAACTCCTTCATCTTTGGCGGGCTTTGTCGAAGAATAGAGGTTACTTATCGACAGACTGCATTAAGCCGAGGGGGTTTTGTCTCAACCATGTGTCTTCGCATTTCTTGAATTCTGAGTGACGGGACTTGAAATCTCGGAATTTATTGTTTATTTGGAGCATTGTGGCGGTTCGCGACCTGGAGTCTGCGTCCATCCGTGCACGCGAGCCTTTGTTTGACCCCCTTGAACCCCTGCCCGACCTGCTCTCCTATACAAACAGAACACTTCGATTTTTAATCATGCCGGGCGAACAAGATAACCGGAAAATCCTGGCCGCCTGCCGCGATGGGGACCAGCAGGCATTGGAGAGCCTGCTCCAGGAATTCGACATCGGCCCCGACCACTGCCAGATGTGGATGGACCGGTCCGTCCCGGAGGAGCAGCAGACGCCTAGAGTCTACGACATGCTCGCGGCTGCCATCCGAGGACAGCAGCTAGACATTGTCAAGTTCTTGTTCTCAAAGTTCCACAACACCAGTCTGGGAACCCTGCTGGGCCTGGCCATCCAGACGGGCAACGTCGAGTTTGTCGAGAGCCTGGTCAGCATCGACCCCGAGTCAGCCGATGCGGAGGATGATTACAGGACTATTCTCGTCGACGCCTTGACCTCTGGGGACGAGAAGATGGTCGGCATCTTGCTAAAGGCCGGAGCGGACCCCAACAGGCCGGCCTGCCGGGCGTTACCGTGGAATGTCGCGTATTACGCCGTGACAGGGGAGAAGCCAGCGTCGATGTTCGAGGTGTTCTTCGACCATGGGTATTGCGTTGATCATTGGACTCTCCGTGAGGCGGTAGAACGAGAACGTCTGGAAGTAGTCGAGGTGCTTCTAAGGAGAGGTGAGACTCTTCATTTACGGCAGGCCACTCCGATGAAGGAGCTGTTGAGCCTGGCCGAGGAGAATAAAGACTGGGAGATGGTTGAGATGATCCAGAGAATGCATCCGGACGGGCAAAAGCGACCGGGGAAGGGTCTTGTGGACAAGATTTCCAAGCTCTTTCAGTCAAAATGAGCCAGTGATATGCCGTTCAATTTGTGCTTCACTTAGTTAGAATATCGTTTGTTGGAAGACTGTTTTTTTGTGTATGAATAGATCAAAGCATGGTTAGGATATCACAGGAATCGTCATTTTGAATACGTCATAGTTTATCTGGAGAAAACAATCAATTAATATGGTGGCTTCTACTAAATTGCTGTAGATGTAATGCCCGAAACGCCCATGCTAAACCATACTGCTGTAAAAATGCTAGTCGTGATACCTCGTTAACGTATAATAATCCTCAACATCCCGGCCAAAACCCGTTACGCCTGCTAAGAAAGTCAAAATCCAGAGTCCAAAGTGAGACTTATGATATAATCTCGTCATCGTCCAGGTCCCACTCATCTCCTACGTCTGCCCAGCCAGACATCCATCTCTCACCGCCAAAATCGCCCACTTGTCTCAGATGCCGTGCCTTGGCGGCATCCTCTTGCCAGTGACGGACATTGCCATCGTCAGAAGCAGTCACTAGTCTTCCTTGGTGAGTCCAGCTAACGTTGGTGACTTCTCGCTCATGACCGCGGACCAGAGGGGTACCAGAACGGTAGATGGGGATATCACAATTCGAAGGAGTGAGAGAAGCTGGCGTGTTTGTGGCCGTGAAGGATTGAGAAGGAGTGATCAAGACGGGATCAGGCTTTAGAATGTGGCTGTTGGCGGCCCAGGCGGTCCGCATATAGCGTTCATCTGTGGAGAAGAGCATTGGGCAGCCGGATGTGCTGCCGACGGCGAGAAGCTCTGGGCTGGAGCCAGATGCAGGGCGAAGTTTGCTCTTGATGAAGAAGGTCCCGACGCTGAACGATTCGTTCTTGAGACCAAAGAGAGGCCCGATGCCTTCGATAGCACGGGGCTTGCGCTTGATGGCATTGTAGACGAGCTCCGGCGCCTCCCCAAGCATGAGATGAGCGGTCGAGTATGCGTAAACTGTGCTGTCTCGGCAAACAGCGTAGAACCTCGCAGCATCAGAACTCATGGCAATCGAGGTGATACCATATGAGCGGAAAGTATGATGGCGAGGAGCAGCGGTTTGAGCGAGCGGGGTAGATTGAGCCCTGACAGGCTTGATATATCGAGTGTCCCAGAGTTTGATTGATGCGTTAGCCTCGGAGCCAGACAGGAGGAGGTGTTCCCGGCCATCAGGAAACCAATGGATGGCTGTGAGCGAGGCTGGGGTAAACCTGCCTTCTGTCAGGCGAGAGTGGGCTGCGGGGATCACGTTGCTGGCGACTCCGTGGACCGCATCGAGAGAATCGTCTCGTGGGTAGATTCGCCGCCGCGTTGAAGAATCATTGACGATTGAAGAAAAGGCCCTCGCGGGCAGCTGGCTGCACCTAAGGTCCCAGATAGCAATGGTGCCATCGCGATCGCTTGTGGCCAAAACGTCGCCATTTCTCTGTCCTGGCTGGAATGCGACCTGCCGCAGAGAACTCTTGTGGTGAGTTGCAAGAGAAACAGCGACCTTCATGGTTGTGACATCAACAATTCCACATGTTCTGTCACCGGCGGCGGTAGCGAGGCGCATGTCGTCCTGTGAAAAAGCGACGTCGATGACGGCATTATCGTGCATGAGCAGTGTCTCGTATACTTTGTCCTGCCGCTCGTGGCCGTCGTCTGTTCTGAAGAGGCGTACATATCCTTGCTCATCGCCAATGGCTGTAACGGGTGATTTGCTGCAGCTGGCCAGGCAGAAGGGCAGAGGGTTTCCTTGTCCCTGCACCAGAGACTCATTTGCATACCAGTCGGCATTCGTGCTGCAGAAGTTTGCAGTTTCAGCCCTCTCATCCCATGCCGGGTATGCTAGATATTGTTTGCCTGTGTCCATAGCGAACCCATGCTCACGTTCGAGCATCTGAGCACCGAAGCCCATGTTAGCGAACTTCTTGATGGGAATAGGCTCATGTGTCTCGAGGGCATCCTGCTAACATGTTAGAGATTGATTGAGATGAGACGCTGTCGGAGATTACATACCCCTCTCTTTTGTCGTTTCGGCGTTGGGCTCTGTGAAGCATCTGTCAATTGTCGGTCCTTCGAATTTGGAGCTCGGCCCCGGCTAGCCTTGAAGAATTGACTCTTGAGTGATGTTAGTCCACCTTCTCCATGACCTCATCACGATGTCCTTGTCTCACCAGAGTTGCCTTGCGCCAATCTCCCAGGACGTCCTGTCCAGGTTGTGTATTGTCCCCGATATCGAATGTGATCCGCGGGAGCTGAACCTCCCTGCTAGTCGGCCTCGACCTCTCCTCGACCAAAGACTCGTCGAGGCTTCCCTCATTGTCCGCGGCCCTTGTCGACCTAGGGCTCTTCGAGGGAGAGGACAAGACGATATCCGGGGTCAGAGGGTCGCTAGCCAACATCCGCGGTGAGCGTGGTTGCTGATTGGTAGCCGCGGTATCCTGGGTGGCCAGTATCCGCCTGCCTCTAAGTTCCTGGGAACGAGGAGTGAAGAATCGTCCAAATCGTCTCGGTGTAACTGATGGGTTTCTCCTTTCCTTCCGTCTGTTACTTCGTGTGGGAGACAGGAGTCCGGCAATGGGAGAGGAGGCCATTCTCGCCGGGCTGCTACTAGGAGGAGGAGACATGGGTGCAAGCCCATACTGGTGATCCATAGCCGGGGAGAAGACAAGCAGAAGAAGAGGATGGTCCCAGAATGGCGCTGGTTCAACTCTATCAGACAAGTAAATGCATCAACAGAACATGCAATGGAAGAAAAAAGCAGAATGCGGAGCTGGAGGCGGTTTTGAGACTGGGAGGCAGGTGGGCAGGGCAACGTAAAATTAGTACTTGACATGGCAGAGGCTGGGGACATCTGGTCGGTGGAGATGGACGCGGTTGGAGGCGTCGTGGACGCGGAGCGTGTAAATTGACTATCGCGTTCCCGCTGTCTGCTGTAGGCGGCGTTGCGTCACTAGAGCGGTCACCTAAGCTCGCTATTGGCCGCCCGAGGGGAGCTCCCGTGCTGATCTCCCTGTCCCCAACATACAGCGCCTACAGTGCCTGCATACCAGACGTTGGCAGGTAGCGTGCCGCCTATTTTGGCTGGCTCGATACTTCACCCATCGATCACCGTCCATCAGTCGGCGTCTGGTCAATCGGCCACTGGTCAATCAGGGCCAATTTTACCAGATCAATTGCAATGCAGTGGCTTCCAGCTTCCTCAACTAACCCCGATCTTTCGCATCTCTCCATTGACTTGGCTCTGAGTCAGCTCTGTGGCAATATTTATAGGTCCATTTTTAAGGTGTGCAGGAGTTGAGCCACTACGACCGGCAGCATCGGTGTTCAGCTGCCTGTAACCGGGATCCAATGGTGTCATTTTAGCCCACAATTACCATCGCCGACTTCCATTGTCTCGACCACCTTTTCGAAACATTTCCTAAAATTTGGCCATTTAATGCTTCATACCGCCCCTGAGAGTTCCTAGCAAGCAATAACTTGACCCTTTGTCTCTACAATAGCTTGCTCCTCTCCCTATTCCCCCCCTCGAATTGCACGCCTGCGCACCATGTGTCGCTTTCTGGTCGGTCAACCTCTCTCGAATCCCGGCCGGTCCTCGGACTGACATATGACTCCCAGGTTTACAAAGGAAGCGACGAGATCCTCCTATCCAAGCTCATCCTCGATCCCACGCACTCAATTCTGAAGCAATCTTTCGATTCTAGGCTTCGCCTGGTGAGTCCACCTGCATCTGCCGGTCATGTTGGCGGCCAGACTTATGAACCTTATCTATCCTGCCCTGGACCTTTCGCTAATCGTGGCCTGCGCCTCCCTTTGATAGGACACTCGAAGAGGCCAGAACAATGCAGATGGCTTTGGAATAGGCTTCTATACTGATCTCAAGTTGGGCCCCGCACCATGCCTGTTTACCTCCACGATCCCCGCCTGGAATTGCACGAACCTACAGCGGATCGCCTCCAAGACGGCCTCCCGGCTCATCTTTGGACACGTACGAGCCACCACCGAGGGGACTCTGAGCGAAGATAACTGCCACCCTTTCGCACATGGGAGCCTCATGTGGATGCACAATGGAGGCTTGGGGGGCTGGAAGTACATCAAACGGCGGCTGGCAGAACGTCTTGCAGACCGATGGTACTTGGGCGTGAAGGGTGGCACAGACAGCGAGTGGGCATTTGCCCTCTTCCTCAACACTCTTGAGCAGCTTGGCCACAATCCTAGCTCCTGCCCAGAAACTGGGTTCGGCCCGACGGTCTTGCGGAAGGCAATGGAGCAAACCATAGCCCAGATCAACGAAATGACCGACGCAATCCCTGAGAGCATTATCCAGAATGAGGATGTCGATACGCGGAGCCTGTTAAACTTTGCAGTCACAGATGGCCATAGCGTTATCTGCACGAGGTACATCAGCAGCTCAAAGGACGAAGCAGCAAGCTTGTATTATTCCTCTGGAACACAGTGGGCTACAAGAACATCTTCCCCAGATGACAGACAGTACCAGATGGAGCGACGAGATAAAGGAGCCGACATTGTTCTTGTTGCAAGTGAACCCCTGACATTTGAGAGAGGTACGTCGCGACTTTCCGCAATTTAGCTTTGGCGCCGCTGTCTGACAAGGGAAAATAGAGAATTGGGTTAATGTACCAACAAACTCCATGTTGACGATCCACCGGCAGACCGTGATGATGCACCCCATCATTGACAAGTACTATGAGCGGGATCCTTATCACGTACGCTCCAGCGCCTTCGTCCAGGCGAAAGGATTGGTCACAAATGAGAAGGCGGCATTGAGCGGCTCCCTAAGCCCTGCAACCGAGACACGAGGGGAATCGGAGGACAGCCGAAAGATCGTGGGAGGCGTCGGGGGGATGCACGCTTTGCGAAGCTTGAGCCCAGACCTCGCCCGGCGGTCCCTGACACCCGCATCCGCCCAAGACAGACGCATCATCGCGGAGCCAGCCTAGGATAGGTGAGTATGCATGCTCTCAGGGGAAGATTCTTGACATCCGTGGCAAACCGTCCGTGTTGAGCTCGGCGTTATTATACTTGATTTAGGAGTTTCTGGAATAGCGTGTGGTTTCACAGGTCCTTCATCGGTTACGGTTTCTGCTGCATTGCACTTAATGTCGATAGTTCATTCAACCGCCGTTCCATTACCAATATCGTATTAGTTACCCTAACATTCTCGCCTCCTCCAGCAGGCACTGTATAGTTAAGGAGAAAGTATGGAGTTCCCCACGGTCAACCTCCTAAAAGCTTATGTGACGCCTCACTACCATAGTCTACTTTAATCGTGATTTAACACAAAGCAAAATATCTCCCGGCACACCTTCAGCCTCCTTGGACCCAATGGTGCGTCGCGCTATGGTGTAATAAGGTTCCGTCTCAGTAAGGCACAATACGGTTGGGGACTGACCTGCAAAGTCGTTACGAACAGAAAGAATCATCCGTCGTCTCGAACTATAAAACGAAAATTGCCCCCGCCATCCCACGATTCCTTCATTTCATCCTATCCACTGAAGGCACCTCGTGGCATACCTTGCCTTGCCTTCTTCTCACCACATAGCCAGAATCACTCATCTGAGAAACTAACCCCCTCGAACCACGCGTTGCCGACACTCGATCCTTTGACTGTTCGCCGGGACCATGCCTTGCTGCTTCGCGACCCTCAAGTTCCGGCAATGTGGCCACGCCATGTTGTTCAAGCTTGGCTGCAGCAAGCCGGAATGTACAGAGATATGCCCCAATAAACGACGTCAGTTCCTCCTGCAGACGGAGTACATGTGGCGCTGCGAGGACTGCGTCGAGTTCGAGTACAAGCAGTCCTCGGACCTTCAGGCCAGCGAGTGGGACACATACTACGCGAGGCTCAGATCCAACCCTCTACTGTCCCAAGAGAGCCGGGACTCGATCACCCTGACGGCGAGAAACAGGGAGGTTCGCCAGGAGGCCACCCGGGACCAGCGCAGGAGCGGCTGCGTGGAGGAGGTCCAGCGCGTCGTCGACTGGGTTGAGGAGTACGGCGGCCTGGTGTGGGATCTCGTCTACGGGCATAAACGTGACTTCGACGAGTCGAAGACCCGCCTCCAGTTCCTGAGAGCAGCGAAATACTGGGATCTGATTGTCATGTTTGACTATGTGAGGAAGGCGCGGGACCCGTGGGACAAGGAGAACTTCCCACATTGGATCGGTGGGTTGGCCCTGGATGATTGTGCTAAGATTTAAATTGTGAGCTCACACCCGCATAGAGGAACTGATCCAGCCAGTGCGGACAAGACCAGCTACACCGGCGGCGGCCGGTCCCGGAACCCCAAGAAGCGCCGGAGGGTCCTCGGCTTTTCGGGGGTTCCAGCCGGGGATGTGCAGGATGGCCGCCATGGATGAGGCGGCGGAACTGACCCAGAGGATGACCGATATTGCCATTCAGAGCCCCGGATCAAGTTCCGACCTCGACTCCGAAACAAATTACATCCTCGAGTCGGGGCCTCCTCGAAAGATTTCTCCGGACGAGGTTCCCAGGTCATTCATGAGCGACCCTGACGATCCTCTTTCCTTATTCTTCAACGCAGACGTGGTAATGGAAGATGAAGATGCTTCGTCAACTCTGAGCACCGATAAAGATGCGGAGAAAGAAGAGCCCAACTACATCTCGTAGCGAGTCTTAGAAGATGCATGGCATTTGTTTGTTGAGCAAGCGCTGTCGTTACGGCGAACCCTGCGATATTCTCGCATGCTTCTGCCTTGGTTGCTGGTCAAAGCCCCGTCGGGTTAGTTTTGTTTGATTTGATATTAACAGAAAAGGTGGAGGTACAATGTGAAAGGCATGGAATCTCAGTATATGCTTCATGATTCCTGGAGGTATTGGATATATGGATATAGCCCTTTGGGAAAGACCAGTTAACAGCATTGCAAAAATGGGAGTTTTGGTTGGTTCAACAGTTCTTTTTCGTATTATCTACTTGACCGTCGAATGTATGTTCAAAACCAAAGAACGCCTTTAATTATGCTTACCGACCCACGCCTATCTCGCTCTAATCTACCAGCGAGGTGGCTCCTGGCCATAGCCGCCCTGGTTATAGCCTCCCGGGCCACCACCGTAGCCTCCCTGACCACCGTAGCCTCCAGGGCCGCCGGGGCCTCCGTGGTGGCCGCCATACTGAGGAGGAGGCGGGCCACTGGGCGGGCCGTAGTCGTGGCCACCGGGACCATCGAGATCACGCTTCCCGGGGCCAGCGCCGGGTCGACGGTTGCCGAACTCGTCCTCGGAATCTTCACTGCTGGTGGAAGCGCCGGACATGGCTCTGGGGCGACCGTCCTTGTGGTTCTTCTTGTTCTTCTTGTACCTGTTACCCACCGCAAGTCAGCAAGGAATATCCACGTATAAGCCAATCTCCAAGTTGCCAAACAAAGACCTACTTCTTAACGCCGTGTTCAAGGATATTGGCACCGATGGCACCGGCAGCAGCACCAGCCAGACTGGCTAGGAAACCACCCCCGGCCTTGTGGGCAGCCCAGCCGGCGGCACCGCCTCCGACAAGAGTCGCGCCGAGGCCACGCTCGCCGTCCTGGGCGCCGCCGGGTCCTCCGGGACCGCCGGGGCCGGTGTTGCTCCCCGGGTAGGCCTGGGCCGTGTTGTTGTTCTGGTCATTGCCGAAGGAGGCGGCGTACGAGCTGGCCTGTCCTCCTCCGCCTCCTTCTCGCTGCTGGCCGTACTGGGGTTGCTGCTGGCCGTACTGCTGCTGCTGCTGACCGTATTGCGGCTGCTGCTGGCCGTATTGCTGCTGGCCGTATTGCGGTTGCTGGGCGTACTGAGGCTGCTAGTCGGCCCCCACGGTTAGCAAACATACAAAAAGCTTCTGGTTTCAATAGTCGGGGCCATCGTCTGACCTGCTGGTTGTAGCCTCCCTGCTGCTGGCCATATCCGCCCTGCTGGCCGTAGCCTCCTTGGTCGCCGCCACCGCCGTAATACGAGTTGGCGGACATTGTCGCGGTTATGATTCTATCAGATAAAAGATATTGTTGGGGAGAATTGGCTGGAAAGTGACGTAGGGACGAGTCTACAGGATTGATCACGAATGGCACCAAAGTAAATACGAGGGGTCGATGATTCACACACCGGCGCGGAGAGCTTATATGTTTCCCAATCAGCCCTACCAGAACAAGTCGTCGTCAGCTCCCAGCCAAGAGTCCACTCGATTGGCTTCGAGCTTGCTCGCACCATCTCCTTCTCCACAGGCTGAAGTTTGGAGGGGGCAACCCCGAACTCTCACGTAATGGACGGCATTCGGCCTCGTGTTGGAACAGCCACGGGTCCGCGGATGTAGGCGAGTTGTATGTGGCTTGTACTCGCATGCTCCAGCCCCGCGTGACATTGCTGGTTGCAGCAAGCTGGTGGGGGAACGAGCCACTACAACAGTGTCCAAGTCCTGGCTCTCTGTTGATAGGTTCTGGCGGTGCGCGGCTCTCTCGGCTTGGTGGCAATGCTTGGCGTTGCTATGGTTTTTCTCCAACAGGTCTCAGAACGCGCGGCCGCCTGTCTGAGTCTTGGCTGTAGCTGGTCCCTCGCTGTGGGATGGGAATGCTCGCTCACAGCAAAGCTTGGCTGGCTTCAATCCGGTAATAAGAATATCCAGCAACCAAGCAACCAAGCCTGCGTTCCTGCGAGAGCTCAAGGAAATTGAGTTTGGCACTGTGGGCATACAGAGACTCGAGAAGGACCAGAGCGGTACAAGCCTCCAATGCACGCAGCCACACAAGAACAAGCAACACCGCCACTGTCACCAGCGTCCGGCTGCAGGGCCGAGAGAGCCTGGTTGTCCGCCTGCCAGTGAGCCTTGGGTAAGACGGTGAGAGCGAGCGGGGACCGCCGATGATCACCTCAATGCAATGGCGGGATTCTTCCCTTTTTCAAGAAATCCCATGGTGCATCTGACTGTCCGAGCTGCGGTTCACGCCTGTCGCCCCCTCCATAACGTGATCTGCCATGAATTTCCTCTTTCCCATCCTGTTGAACCCTTATGCCGCCACCGAGGATCGATCTGCAGGTCCTAGTGCTCACCCGATGGGATTTCGGACAGACGCCCTACGCGGGCCTTCGCTCTCTTCCCGCCGAGATTTCTTTCTTACCCTGTAACTTCCATTCAGGCCGACAATCGTATATGATTGGCTCGGGCGTTCAGCCCACTCTTTGCTTTAAAGAGGCATAGCGCAGACTGGGGAAGATTATGTAAGTCGCACGTCAATGCAAATCATCTGTCCAAAGTGGGGCACGGGAAATTCCAGAGAAAACAATGCACCCATTGAGATATCACCAAGCCCTCCCACATCAAGATATCAATCACATCACATCTTGCCGGGCGCTTGCATGACAATGAGAACTTGCTTTTTCGTTCTGAACTCACGCCCCTCCACAACCATTATTCTCACAATGATTTCCACTGTGACCTCGTCGATGCACCCCCGGAGTAACAGGCGTTTGCGCCGCATATCTCCGTTATCTGGGTCACGTAGTTCGTGCAGATGATGTTGAGGGGTTACGTTACTTGGCATAAGGGACGGCAATGTGACAGCGATGCAGCGTTTCATCGACTCTGCACTCACCCGCCGATGGGAGATCATGTAAATTGTAGTTTTCTCAGTGCTCGGGGTGCAGCTAATGAAAAACGACTTTTGCTGTCCCGACCCGTGAGTGTGCGTAGTGATGATCCCACCATTGGAGCGTTGCTCCGAGCTCGATAGTTGGGGAACTTGGGATCAGTCACATCTCGAATCGTCGAGGAACCTCAAGCGAATGATGACTGTCGGATAAATGGCCGGAAATTTCCAGTATAGCGAAGTGCCCAGTGATCACGGGACACCTACCGATGTGGTATGATATTGGTAACATGGGCATTCGGATGGGAGTAAGTTGTTTCCGTGAGTAATGGCCCTGACACATCTGTGGTCGGGAGTTAATAGGCCTCAGGGAACAAGTCAACTATAACTGCTGACATTATATCGGAGAGCGTCAACCAGCGTTTCGTGCTTACAGTGTAGTCGGACGTCTTCCAATGATACCAATGTAAATTGCTTTAGCGCCGTTCTCTCACACAAGTCAGACACGGCTGAAGTCATCCTCTATAGCCAAGAATACATCGACCCGATCGCTTAAACATTTAGGGTTGGATAGTATGTGTATGGTGGATTCAGGTCTGACAAGGGCCTTAGACGTGAAGTGTATCATGACTAGAGCAGTAGTAGACTCGAGAGGCGCTTGCGGGAAGTGACAGGTTCTTGGTTCGCTAAATCCGAAGCATGACGCATAAACCTGCTGACGCTGCAGCCTCCAGTCTTTCGCATGAAGGGACGGGAGGAGGCACAGACCGTGCCTTGCTGCCTGAGTGTCAGGCAGGGTGATCCGGGGAAGGAACAACCTCACCGCCTGTGCAGAGCTACCGTCGTTGCTTCCGAGTTGTGTGTAGCGGATAAAGGGCGGGATGTGCGGCACAGAACAAGGTCGCCTGGTTCTCCCTAGACAGATACGTCAAGCATCTGCGTGGATAGCTTCGAAACCGGCCCAACCCAGAGTCATCCGGCGAGGACCAAAGCTCAATGCGCAGCTTCGAGAGAGACCATCATATCCAAGGCTGGCCTGCAGTAGTCGCGTCAGGTCGAAAGACGTACATACGCAGTGGCTATTTCCGTCCCCGCCTCTCCCGCGGCGTTTCCACGACTTCTGCCTCGTGCAGGAAGGCAAGTAACGCCGAATCAGACTCTGCTGTCCTACCACATGCACATGTAGGCTCACCTGAGAGAAGGAGCCTGCAGAATCTTGCTCTCTCGTGCCACCCGATATGCATCATCGCTCGCCCACACCCACACCCTCTCCGGCTCGTCTGCGAAGGTGTTAGCCCAAGCTAATATCGCGCCTACCGAACGGTGTGGTGCCATCTGGACTCTCCTGGAAGTTGAAGATGGCCCTAGCGTTGTCATATGCCAACGAACCCCTCCTCCTTCCTCCTCCCCTGAGAGTGAGGTTCAATCATATCCTCGGCCCATAACTTGAGAGGGGGAGAAGACAGAAGCTAGCCTGGCGCCCGAGTAGGCATGGATACGCCTGTTCTCGCGCCCCCTGCCCCCTGTCAAGACGGCCTTTAACCACTGACGATCCAACACTTTCGTCGCAAATCCTCGATGCATGTCCTATTGCTGATCCCAGGGGGGAAAGCTTGAACCATCCTTGCCAAGGAAAACAAGAGACGATGGCAGGCTAGCTCCAGCACACCCCCTCGAGAACACTCATGGTCGCGGCCGCTTTCCTCGTCCCCTCTCTCTATCCACCCGGTCAACCACCATAGCCTTGCCACGCCACAGCTGAGCTTGTGTTTCGTCTCAGGGAGAGGAGACCCAGCCCAACCACCAACCACACTCCCCTTCACACCGATCGAACAGGCCCATGAGCCTGTCTGCCATTATTCCTAGGGGGTAATAGCCGCGACGCGTCTAACCCCTCCCATCTGCCATCACATCCGCCAGGGGCCGTTTCCCCTCCAAGCAGTGCCTAGTTATCGCCTGCATATACACGTATCCTGCCCCGGCGCCCCTAGAAGAGAAAAAGAAAGCGTACATAATAGGAAATCAGACCAGGAAATCCCCTTACCCAAAGCAGAAAACAAGACTGGCCAAGAACATCACGAGACAGGACATCACTGCACCACTGAGAAAGAACCCCTCCTCCTCCACTCGCAGGGTATTTCGTCGTCGCACAAACGCCAGCCCAGCGTAAACTAGAACGCCCTGGCATTAGTGACCGGGTCGAAAGCCTGCATGTCAGCAATTGAAAACAGCCAAGATCAACCGTGCTCGATAGTATTATATCGGGGCAGTTTCTGTGACCCTTTTGCCTCCCTCGTCGAGCGGAGCACCGAGCCTCTACTCAAAGCCCGGGGCGGCCGACCAGGTCCGCCAGTCGCCGTGCAAGTGGATCCCAAGTCACGGCGCAACCCGCAAAACTTCCATTTCCTTGCCCATCAGAACATCCGTGCGCGCCTGGGTCCCCCATTCTAGGTAATATCTATATTTAATCCCCCGGCCATTTGGATCGTGAAACACTCTTGACTTCAAAAATCCCCTTGCCCACGCCCCCCCCTTCACCCCGGTCTATTCCCCAGCAAGCCCAACTCTGTGTCCTTATCTTAATTCAGCCCATATCGCCACTCGCTCGGTGGTTTCCCCTGCGATTCTGTGACGTGCTGCCTGTTCGCCTCTATTAATGGAGTTTCTCGGGATCGACCGTGTCAGATCGCCCATCCCATCCTCCGGCGACAGGGCCCTCGATAGCTTGTCCCTAGCAGGGCCGATGCAACCCCGACGAGTAACCTTACATCCCGAGAGTCTCGCCGAGTCGTTGTGAGGAATGTCATGATTCCGTGCTAGTACCAGCCGTTCGCTGAAGGATTCGAGTCTACTTGCTTGCTTTGAGAAGCATCCATGTACATTATCACACTCAGACGATTTTGGTCAAAATGGTAAGTTTCTGAAAACAGATGTAAACATTGCGTGACAAAACTATCGACAAAAGCCAACCCAAGAAAACGCCCTATCCTGTATGTAAAATCAAAATCTCAATGGCCGTAAAATGCATCACTCATAGCCCATTTCCCCAGTAATCATTTCAAATCCATGCTTTCCAATGCCAGCGCCGAATAGCAAAGAGAACAAGAAGACAAAGTGGGAAAACATAACCAAACATATATACACGAGAAGACAATTGTATGTACTGGGAGAAGTAACATGCCCTCCCTTTCAATATTTCCAAAAAAAACTCGCAAAAGGTCAAATATGTAAGTAAGAATCAGAAGGAGTTGGATCAGAACATGATCCATTCCACGTCAACTCCTGGGCCTCCGAGACAGCTTGCCCAGTTGAAGGGGCTGCGAGAAGATGCTTTGCTGTCTGGGGTGCCGGTCTCAGAGCCACTCATGCCCGTGAACCATAGTTTCTCC